GCTGAGGAGTGTTGAGAAAAGAACCCTCGCAAGGGAGGCTAGCCTTCCTTTCTTATATCAACCAACCATCAAAGAGACGTAAATTACGTGATATTAGTTTGAACGTCTGCCGCTGCGCTGATAATGTACCTAGTAGTTATGATGAGTAGCGATATTGAATATTTGATCGCCAGCAGATTTACCAAGCTGTCATTCAAACAGTATATATACAAATTTAGGGAAAACAGCCTAAGCTGGATATAGGCTACAGCAGTCGGGGCTTAATTAAATGGCGCAACAGGCAGATTTCTTTTAACACAGACTTTTAAGAAGGGATGGATGTTTGCTTCAAGTGATAGGCCAGGTAAGTGAAGTTATATTATCTTGCTGTATGCATGTCGTTTTCTTTACGTTTTCTGACTAAAAGCAACCAAAAAGCCATTTTAAAGTGGTTAAGCAAATAATATAATAATAATAATCGGCAGGGATCCCAGACCAATACAATTAGTGTGCCTCCTCTATTTTAAAACCCACGAGCCGCCACTGCTTAATTTTACTTAAAAGAGTACAATTTCATGACTTAACACACTTAAGTATACTTTTAAAAAGTGTACATTGTAATAATGTCCGATTTTTTAAAGTACATTTAAAATAATTTAATATTCTTTTGTCGTGCTTTAAAGGACGCTTATTTTGCACATTTTAAAATTTAAACTGTACTGTGTTATTCAATAATGCTGTACATTTAAAGATAATACATTTTAAATGTAACAAATTGCAGCTACTTCGTTACAAATGTGTAAAACACAAATATATTTAAATTCATGACATTTCAACAAATATATTTAAATACATTTTAAGTAAGTGTCTGAAAACATTGCATTTAAGTATAAGCACGTAAGTATATTCTTTTATTATTTCTTTAAGTACTCTTTTTTTTAAGTATGCTAAAGTGTACTTTTTCCACAAGGCCATGCCCAACAGATATTTCATTCAAATCTAACTATATGTATTGCTTTACTAAATATAGATTTATATCTAAATACATTTACATGCACTTACAAGTTTGATTTTAGTCAGTCTAGAGTAGTTAGTCTTTTTTTTTTCTTTTAATGTTATGAATACATTTTAGTCCAACTGAAATCATGCCAGCCAACAGATTTAGATAATGTGATTTGTAGTTCAGCTTCCAGAATGTATATGTGAATGTTCTGTAAATAACACTCTTGAGATTCTGTTGTTGTCCATCTATGCTAGAGTAGAACATCAGCACAGTGTTATCATTCTGACTGCAGCTGCCAAGAGGGAGAAAGGCTCTTTACACTCAATTAGTTTGACAGTCTATAACAGTCAATAAATGGTGAGATCCATTTTACTCCGGAAGCCGCACTCTCTTTTCTTTTTTCTCTCACTATATCTCCGTCTTTCCTTACATCATCAAGTTATTAATGGTCTTCAGAATCTAACCTTGAGGACTGATGTATCCAATACAATATACTGTATGTGGACAAACTTCCCTGCTGTAAAGACCGGCATATGCTGTGTTTTGGATGCTGGTGGGATGATTTGCCCCCAACGGCTTGCTTAATTAGCTTAACCAGCAAGATTATCATGAAAATGTAGCTTGTAAAGCTGAACAGCCTGAAGGATATTTCTAGCCGAGAAAATTTTTGCTTTACATGCAAAATGTTTATGACATTCTTGTTGGCTATGCTATTTTTTTCTAACAAGCTAAGTTTTTCTTGTTCAAGTGCTAATGCTCTCTCCTCATTCTCTTATTTGCTCTCATTCTAATGCAGTTTTATAAAAGAAGGAATAATAAGTGAGATTGAGATTCACCGTTCGCTGCCGCTATCAGAGCTTGGAACTGTTCAGCTTCGGTAGGGGGGTTGGGCCACGGTCTTGTTCCCGCTATCACACCAGCGCTGGCATCTGCCTCATCAGGACGAGCTCCAGCCCTAAATGACAGAGAACAGGGTTAGTGACTCGACATGCATTCAAACACATTCATAGTGCTTTTTTTCCTCGCATTTTACCTCTCACACATATACGAGAACAGCAGCCACCACGTTTGCTAGCATAAATGCACCTGGTTCATTAGCTGAGACAGCCATTTTGTGTGACAGGGCAGGACAGTGCAGTGCAGTCAGAAAATGGAGGCTAAAGTCGACAAAGCAGTGGTAGACATGAAGTAAACAGACAGATGCATTGATTAAATACAGTTGTGTCTGTTTATATCATATGACTTAACACATACACTTTGCCCTTTGATCAAACTACAACAAGCTTTAATTAAAGGGATAGTTCACCCCCCCTCCATTTTTTTTTTAACTTACTCACCCTCATGTTGTTCCAAACCTGTATAACTTTTTTTTCATCTGTAAAACACTAAATAGAAAATACAGTGGCAGAAGTCTAGTATAAACCAGAAAATAAATAAATAAAAATAAATAAATTCCTGCACAGTACTCAAACTTGCATCCTTGTAAAATGTTATTAGCTCAGCAACGTTTCGGGTCAATTGATGTTCCTCAGGCTTATAAAACATGCAGACATATCAGCTAATGTAAAAATAAATATCTCATTAAATATATATTTTTTGTATTTACAGATTTTTGTATTTGAGTATTTACAATAGATAATAATGATAAATTCCCATTAAAGGTCAGTCCTTATTTTCAGTGCCTTTTGTGTCCCCAGTAAGGATCATGATCTTACTGCCTTAAAATGCTGAACAATATATATTTTAAGGCTGTCTTAGTCATAAATAACTAAATTTGAACAATTTTAAACATTTAACAGCATTTTAAAATACCAAATATCACCACTTTTCCTATGTCCCCAGGCTTCTGTGTCCCATTTTCAATATAAATACAACACTTACTATATTATTCTTTTCTTTTCTTTTTACATTTTTGATTTTAGAAGAAATACTTCTTTCAAATGTATAGATTTTGTCAATTAATTTAATTTAACAATTATAATAAAGGTTTTTAGTTTGTTCCTCAAGTTATTGTCTACTCTGTTATTTTGACTACTGTCCATTCAAATGAAAGCTGTCCAAAAAAGAAAAAGAAAAAAGAAGACAATTAAATCATAAACATCACTTCCTTGGAGGGAAAACAACTTGGTAATGTGAGTGAGATCCTCTGATAAGCTTCAAATAAGCTTTTAAATGGGCAAAGGAACAAGTTTATTAAGATAATGTACAAGATGCCCATACATTAAAGTCTTAAGTCTTTTAATCTATTTTTCATTGTCATTTCATAGTTTGTGTTTCACAAATGATTAAATTTATTTTCCCAAGATGCAAGTTTGAGTAGTGTGTTAGAATTATTTTTTTTTCCCAAATAAATCTGTGAATTTCTTCTGTCTTTTATTTTTGGGTGAACTATCACTTTAAGTATATTTTGGTTATTACAGGCTGCTCAGTTTCAAAATGACACGACTAAAAAGCAGATTTTTTACTCTCTCTCTCTCTCTCTGCCCACACAAACAGATTGATAGCAGAGTCCGTACATAAGGACAGAAATATTTCTCTACTCTTTAGGGACAGACTTCACAGACTTGGCTCTACAAAGCCAAAATAAATCAAATCGGAACAAGCAAGTTTACTAAGCACAGGTAAACACACTGTCAACACACTGTGCAATGTCAGCCCGCAGAGCAAGATGCAACAAACAGCTATCAGCGATACACATACATCCAAAAGCCTTATCCTCAAATGAACCAACTGCACGAAATTTGTGTTAGGAACAGACTGGACAGCATGTCGCTGGAAGCTGCAGGACACATAATCTGAAAGACCTAAACACAACATTTCACTAGAAGGCTACACCAGGTGAAGTCAAACGCTACAAGCCTTCTCTTCGCCTTCACTCTACCTGGACTTCTCGTATGGAGTCCATCTCTGCTGCAGGGTGTGGAACCTGTGTTGGCTGAAACATAAGCACAGGAGCATGCAGCTGTGTCTGACCAGAGACTGACCAGAGTACATGGATGGGTGAGAACGGATTTGGGTTTCCTTTAAGTTTAAACCTTATATCTTAAGACGTTGTGTCTCACAGGTAGTTGGTTCGCTTTTGTATGTTTCTATCTGATAATTGCTATCATAATATATTTGGTGTATTTGCAAGATTTTTTTTTTTTTTGCTCCACATGATTTCTTTTCTTTGCAATATTTTTGCAGGATATTCTTCACAGGATTTCTTTTGTGGGATTTTATTTTTGCAGGACTTTATTTCTTTTGTGGGTTTTTCTTTGCAGGATTTCTTTACATTATTTATTTTTGCAAGATTACAGTACTGTGGTAAATTTACATCTTTAATATTCATAAAATGGCGATAATGTAAATTCATCTCTACATATGTAGAGATGAAAACACTAAAGGAAATACAAATAGTAAATTATTTCAGACTCTAATCTAGATAGTTTGGTATTTGTTGATTTTATCTATAAATATTGTTTCCTTAACTCTTCTTGCTGACTAAATGCAGAGGACAGTGACCATCAACAATGTAGGCACTCAAATGTTTGTAGGCAATCTCAGATTTTGAAAACACTAAAGGAAGGAAAATTTGTACATTATTTCATATTCTAATCTAGATAGTTTGGTATTTGTTGACTTTGCCTGTGACTATTGTTTACTTAACTCTTCTTTCTGACTAAATTCATAAGATAGTGACCACCAAAAATCTAGGCACTCAGACGTTAACAGGTAATCCAAGATTTTGTTCTGTTAATATCTCACTCCAATCAGCGAGATTAAATAAAAACTATTACAAAACAGTGTACGTAATATCACGTGGATAATCTCAAATGTATTTATGGTTTTGCGAGACATATAAACTGAATCCAACACTTACCCGCTGGGTCCAGGCCTCTGGTTTGGGGAAAATCGCCAGTCAGCATTAGGGGGATTTTGCTGAAAATGAGAAGAAAATAATTTTGTCAATACTTTTGTTTGGCATAGAGATTAATATCCACTATTGGTCCACCCTGGAGTGCAGTTCCCTCCATCCCGTCATAGGAGGTTGTAATTCTGAAACACAAATTTGTATTATTGACAGCAGATTTGATCTGCTTCCTCTGCTTTTCCTCAGGACTATTTTCTGAAACTGCACCTTTGCTGATACAGAAAGAATATGTTGAGGGGAGTAGTGAGAATCAGAGCAACAAAGAAGAACATAAGGTAGAAAATAGGTTGAGGGAGAGTGTGTGTGAATAATTGAAACTTCGATCATGTTGCTGTCACGCATGGTTGCATGTACGTGAGGACTATACACATAAGTCTGTATCAAACAAAATATGAGCTCACCTGTAGGTGGATTGTGGCTAAAATTTCGCCCTGCTTTTGGATTTTTTTTTTCATAATTTTTGTCTTAATTTCCTTAGTATCCCACACAATTCTATTGCATCTCCCCACACTGAGTCGAGTTATTATGTTGCAAGATAGCATTCAAGGCATGTGCAATATCACACTGTAATGATCCTCCAAACTCTAGTGTAGATTCCACAAAGACTCTACTTTGTAAATCATAATGACTGCAACAATCTGCCTCACCTGACTTGAGCATTTGAACACACTATTTTCAGTCAAAACTCTTCTCTGATTCACTGGGTCTAGAAATAGCTCAAATTGTGGCCTGATTCTTAATACACTTGGCATTATAAAGTGCTTAGTCCAAAAAGTGAGTCATAGTGACTGGAGCCATACTCTGAATTAATGACATACAGCATGGTTTCTATCTTACTAGAAATGATTTTGAGAAATTGTGTGACACTAAAATTCACACCACAAACATCTGAACAGTGTATCATTTTTTTTTCATTAACATATGTAATTTTTTGCTTACACTACCCATCAAAAGTTTGGTGTCAGTGAGATTTTTTTGAAAGAAATTAATACTTCTATTCAGCAGGGATGCATTAAATTAGTTAAAAGTGATAGTAAAGACGTTTACAATTGTACAATATTCCACAATATTTCAGTTTTAATTAATTTTATAGTAAAAATCAATCAATCATTCAATTAATCAATCCTTGGTGGGCATATGAGACTTTTTTTCTCATCAAACATTAAAGAAATCTTACCAACCCCAAACTTTTAAATGGTAGTCTATAATATTTCCTGAAAATCTCACCTTCATGAGTGAGTGAGAGAAGAGTCTTTTTGACAGTCGCATTCTTAGAGTGCTCGGTGGGGCCTTAACAAACACAAAGTCGCTCCTGCTGGATATAGTGGAGAAACCAGGCGTGTATGTGTGTTTGTGTAAATCCTGGGAGACCCCCACGACCTCCATGCATCTAATAGGACCGTCAGTATTTAGCTGCAGGTGGAGGTCATTGTGTTGGTGCTCACGAGATGTGTGTTTGAAGCCAAGTTTTTGCATGAGGCACATAACGTAACCATGATGGCTGAGCCAGCTACAAAAATGATGACCAGGAATGAGACCATAATAATGAAGGATAATGTAATTATGAGGTACAAAGTGAGGTCAGACCCTTTTGGACTTTTGGAGGTAGAGCTCCTGGGTTCAGAAAATACATCTGAAGCTTTCTCAGCCAGAGTGATGTTAATTACCACACTAGCAGAGAGAGAAGGCCTGCCGTTATCTTTTACAATCACAATGAAGCTAAAGACAGACTTGCTGTTCTCTTCTGTAAGTTCTCCAGTATGTGCGCCTATGTGAAACATTTCAGTATCAAGCCCCGAGAAGCTGTAGAATAACCAGGCATTGTGGCCACTATCACCATCCACAAATGTGATACGATTGACTAAGCGTCCGATGCCAGCCGTGCTAGGTACCAAAAACTGCAGCGTCCCATCGGATGGGAGTGCAGGATATATAAGGACAGGAGGATGATCATTCTGATCTATAATAAACACATGCACCGTAGTGTTGGAGCTTTGAGCTGGAGTTCCTCTATCAAGAACCTGCACTATTGAAATGCATTCAATTGCTCATAGTCAAACTTTCGCATGGCATATATATGCCCACTATCTGGGTTAATGTATACATATGAAGACACAGACCTACCAAGAGCTTCACACTCCAAAATTGAGAAATAAACAGTGGAATTCTCACCCACATCTGGGTCTGATGCAGACACGGACAGAAGGGGAGCATTTGGGGCATTGTTTTCAGCTATGTCCACAGAGTAGGAACACTGTGAGAAGATTGGGGGGTTATCATTAACATCTGAAAGACGTAACACAAAAGATTCCTGTGAGGAACGGGGCGGGGAACCAGAGTCTGTGGCAGTCACAATAATGGTGTATTCAGCCACAGCCTCTCTGTCCAGCAGGCCATCGGTAATTAAAATGAAAAGCCCTTTATAAGGTGAAGTCATCTTGAAAGGCAACCCATAATGGATGTGCATGCTCACTTCGCCATTTTCCCGTGTCTTCATCTTTTACTTTGATTAGGGCAATGACAGTGCCTGAACTCACATATTCAGAGATTACAGGAGAAACCACATTAATGCTGATAGCAGGGGTGTTGTCATTCACGTCAATAATCTCGATTTTGATGTTGCACGAGCCCTCCATGGGAGGTATTCCCTTGTCCCTAGCAAGGACAGTGACGTCATGCACATTAGCGAGCTCGTGATCGACTTGTCCTGTAACTCTAATTTCTCCAGTCACAGAATCCACACTAAAGAGTTTTAAAACATTGTCAGGGTGTATTTATCAAATATGTAATATATTTCACCATTTTGACCATGATCGGCATCAGAGGCGTTAAGAGTTGTAACTAACGTTCTATGAGGTGACTTTTCTAAAAGCGTGACTCTTTTTGTAAGATTATGAAAGTGTGGCGAGTTGTCATTGACATCTAGAATATTTATAAAAATGGCACTATTGCAGGACTTTTCTGGACTGCCCCCATCAACTGCTGTTAAAATCAATCTAAATTCGTTCCTCTTTTCTCTATCAAGAGACTTGTTCAAGACTAAAATTGGGATTTTGCTTCCGTCACTTTTAGTTTCTACTTTTAGCATAAAACGATCGTTTTGACTAAGAAAATAAGCGCGCATTGAATTAACACCCACATCAGGGTCATGCGCACTTTCTAAGCGGAACATAGTGCCTGCCGCAGCCGCTTCTGAAACTTCTAAAGAAGTGTTTCGGCTTTGGAAGTGTGGCGCGTTGTCGTTAACATCCACAATTTATATCGTAACGCTGTGCATTTCCAAAGGATTTTGAAGAGAAATCTGAATCCGAGTGTGACAATGTAAATTTCCTCTGCACATACTTTCTCTGTCCATTGTTTGCTTGACCACCAAAGCTCCGGATGTCAGGTCTACGTCAAAATACTTAGCATTAGATTCCGAGATGATTCGCATCTCTCTTAGAAGTATCACATGAACGTCCATTCCTAAATCTTTAGCCAGGTGGCCAACAATAGTTCCCAGTTTAGATTCCTCAGCTGTAGAATATAAAAGTTCCAAAGCGTGCGTTGCAAAACACAACGAATTAAGAACAATCCAAACTGCAGCCCAGTCCAAAGATCTCTGAAAAAGCTCTTTACTCTTCATTTTTAATTGAGTATTTTCACTAGTAGCTATAGACTCCTTCGGGGTTTTAGTTAATGTATATAGGCTACTAGACATCGCAAGACATTGCAGAGTATAGGAGAAACACGTTTGGTTTTGTATCCATGATCTCCACCATTTGTTCTAACGTTTCTAAACTAACAATACAGCTCCTGAGAGCAATAGGCCTGTGTGGGTCTGGCAGAAGAGTTAAAAGGGGTGGGGCTAAAAACGTGCGTTTCTATTGGAGGAAAGTTGCTTTGCTTAGACAAAAGCACACATTGTGCTGTCCAAGGTGCTGAAAGTAGCGTCTCTCCATCAGTTACGTATAATTAGTGTCTGTATAACCATAACTTGTTTAAATCTGCGTTTGTCTCACCTGTTGGCTCTCGAACGTCCACGCGCTGTCTGGTGATGACGCATCAAGCACGTTTAGCGTGTCTGTAAAGTTTGTGGTGCTGCTGGGTTTAACGAGTGTAAGGTCACTGAATTCTGACATTGGAGAGAGATAGGAGCCAAAGGACTGACTCTGAGACATCATGTCTCCTCCCAGAACCTCCACATACTTAATGGGCCCGTCAGTGTTGAGCTGGATCTGCAGGTCTCTGTTGGGGTTCTTGTATTCAGAATTTGTCCTCCTGATACAGCAGCTTGAGCCGCCTCTACTGCCTCGCGCACATTTCACCAGCAAAATGAAAAATGTCAACAGACACAACAAGGACACGGAAGCCAAAGAGATGATTAGATATAAAGTAATTGTGCCACTTTCCTTGTTGGACTCGATAGTTTTCTCTTTATAGTCTGAGATGGGCTCATGAAACCGGTCTTCTATCAGTATATCCACTGTGATTGTGGTGGACTGGATCGGCTCTCCATTATCCTTTATTTCTATCAGCAGTCTCTGAGAGGAGTCATCGTGCTCTGAAACAGCGCGTTTAGTCCTCACCTCTCCCGTATGTAAATTGACACTGAACAGAGACGCGTCCGTGGCCTCTGCGAGCCTGTAGAACAGCCAGGCGTTATGACCCGAGTCCGCGTCCACTGCTGTTACCTTAGTAACGAGATGTCCTGCTTTAGCAGACCGGGGCATCCTCTGATGAGTAACAGACCCCATGGATGAGGACGGATAAATGACAGCAGGTGCGTTATCGTTATGGTCCAGAATAAACACATACACTGTCGCGTTACTACTTAAAGATGGAGAGCCATGATCTTTAGCCTGAACGATGACCTCAAACACTTTTCTTTTTTCGAAGTCAAACGAATGCATGCTAAATATGCTTCCATTGTCAGAGTTTATGTACATATACGAGGATACTGGAGTATCCCAATTTTTAGGGATCTCAATAGAGTATGATATTTTACCATTTACGCCGACATCAAAGTCTTGAGCAGATACCGAACAGATAATAGAGCCTGGAGTGTTATTTTCCTTTACGTACACATAATACACGTTATCAGGGAACTTTGGGGCATTGTCGTTAACATCAAGAATTTTAACTGGAATTATTGTTTTGGTATTTAAAGGGGGCGAGCCTGAGTCGAATGCAGTGATTTCCACGTTATACTCCGGGTAAGTTTCGCGGTCTAAAACGCCGTTTGTAACCAACGAATATTCGTTTGAAAAGGATGGTTTTAAAATAAATGGAAGATCAGACTGTATCTGCAGACTGACTTTTCCATTGTCACCAGAGTCGATGTCCCGTGCGCTTATTAACGCTACAACTGTCCCGCTTGGCGCGTTCTCCAGCACGGGGCTCGGTTTAGATGTCAGCACTATTTGTGGTGGGTTGTCGTTAATATCTGCAACTTCAATTTCAACCAAACAATGACCCTCCATTTCGGGAACCCCTCTATCTTTGGCACTGATCTCAATGTTGTAAATAGGGGTGGTCTCATAGTCTAACTCCCCATTCAGGATCATTTCGCCGGTTTTCTCGTTAATACAAAACAATGAGCGCAGCTCTTCAGATGTGTGCTCCCCTAAAGAATACTGTATATCTCCATTAGGACCTTCATCTAAGTCCGTTGCTTTAACCTTTAAAAATGACGTTCCTTGCTTGGCGTTTTCATTAATGGCCACTTTGTAAACTATTTTCTCAAATACGGGGTTGTTGTCATTGTTATCCAGCACAGTGATGTTTATTTGTGAAGTTCCAGATCTAACCGGCTTCCCCCCGTCTAAAGCAGTTAACATAAGCTGATGCATCGGTTTCTTCTCGCGATCCAGAGGTTTTTCCAGTACTAATTCAGGTACCTTGCGCCCATCTCCAAGGTCTTTTACTTTTAAACTAAAACACTCGTCTTTACTTAAAGTATACGATTTCAAGGAATTACTTCCAACATCTGGGTCTACTGCGCTCTCCAAAGGAAAACGCATGCCAGGGACAGTTGATTCTGCTATCTTTAAAACGCGGTCCGTCGACTGAAAATGCGGATAATTGTCATTAATATCCTGTATGTCGACTTCCACTCTGTAAAGTTGTAAAGGCTCCTCGATAACAATTTGAAGAGGCAGCAGACAATTTGCGTTTTTTCCACAAAGGATTTCTCTGTCGATTCTCTCTTTAACCACAATTTCTCCTCTGCGTAAATCCACGCTGAAATACTGCTTACCTGATTCAGAAGCTATTCGCAATTTACGGTCATACAGCTCAGATATTTTCAAACCTAAATCTTTTGCAATATTTCCAACAACAGCGCCCACATTTAATTCCTCGGGAATTGAGTAGCGAGTCTGTCCTTCTGTCGTACTCCACAAAAGAAGAAAGAGAAAAAAGAAGAGCAAATAATGCCTCCAACATCTGAATGCCACCCTCTTTGTCATTTTGATTTTAAATCCAGACGATTCACCGTTCTAATAAAAACTAGGGGTACCACCACGACGACAATTTCGCTTTTCCATTTTGTCTCAAAAATATGTTAGAATCCATTTTATAGGAGAGATTAGAGCATTCCTCGTCACCGTCTGCACTGAACGTTGTAATGTCAGTGGGGGAGGGAGTAGATCTCTTTGTACAATTCTGCATGTGATTGGTGCAGAGATAAAGGCAATAACCAGTAGCAAGAGAACTGCCTCTTAAAGGCGCAGCACAGCACCTGCTGTCAATCTCACACCAAAGAACATTACAATAGAAGAAAAGTATTATGTATCACGAGTGGCCATATTTTATTTGTTGTCTTTGTATAATTTATATATTTCTATGTTAATGAAATAAAACGACATTCTTTGGTAATATAATATTTGATGTTGATATAATAATAATAATAATAATAATAATAATAATTATTATTATTATTATTATTATGTGCAAACAAAAGAGTATTTTGTGTTCAGACAAAAGTACACATGGTGCTGTCCAAGGTGCTGAAAATAACGTCATTCTATCACTGTTAAGTATAAATAACATAGTGTATACACATTAACTTTTTACATCTAGGCTTTCTCACCTGTTGGCTCTCGAACGTCCACGCGCTGTCTGGTAATGACGCATCAAGCACGTTTAGCGTGTCTGTAAAGTTTGTGGTGCTGCTGGGTTTAACGAGTGTAAGGTCACTGAATTCTGACATTGGAGAGAGATAGGAGCCAAAGGACTGACTCTGAGACATCATGTCTCCTCCCAGAACCTCCACATACTTAATAGGCCCGTCAGTGTTGAGCTGGATCTGCAGGTCTCTGTTGGGGTTCTTGTATTCAGAATTTGTTCTCCTGATACAGCAGCTTGAGTCGCCTCTACTGCCTCGCGCACATTTCACTAGTATGATGAAAAACGACACCAAAGACAACAAGGACACGGACGCCAAAGAGGTAATAAGATATAAAGTAATTTTGCTGCTTTTCTTGTTGGGCTCGATAGTTTTTTCTCTATGGTCTGAAATGGATTCATGAAAGCCGTCCTCTATCAGTATATCCACTGTGACAGTTGTGGACTGGATCGGCTCTCCATTATCCTTTATTTCTATCAGCAGTCTCTGAGAGGAGTCATCGTGCTCTGAAACAGCGCGTTTAGTCCTCACCTCTCCCGTATGTAAATTGACACTGAACAGAGACGCGTCCGTGGCCTCTGCGAGCCTGTAGAACAGCCAGGCGTTATGACCCGAGTCCGCGTCCACTGCTGTTACCTTAGTAACGAGATGTCCTGCTTTAGCAGACCGGGGCATCCTCTGATGAGTAACAGACCCCATGGATGAGGACGGGTAAATGACAGCAGGTGCGTTATCGTTCCGGTCCGAAATAAACACATGAACTGTGGCATTGCTGCTCAGAGATGGAGAGCCATGGTCTTTAGCCTGCACTATAACACTAAACAATTTTACCTTTTCATAATCAAATGAGTTCATGCAGTAAATAGTTCCATTTTCAGAATTGATATAAAAATAAGATGATGCTGGAACTTGATTAGAACTTGAATCCAGAATTAAATAAGTAAGTAGAGCGTTTTTATCCTGGTCAATATCAGAAACTTTTACAGAAAACAGTGACGCGCCTGCCAGATTATTTTCGTTTACGTAAACATTATATGAGGACTGTGAGAATAGTGGAGGGTTGTCATTCACGTCAAGTATTTTCACAGTTACCGTTTTCGAAGTTTTTAAGGGCGGAATACCGGAGTCTATGGCCAGTATTTCTACATTATATTCAGAATTAACCTCACGGTCTAATAATGAATCGGTTATCAGTGAATAATGATTATGAAAAGGTTTCAATTTAAACGGAACATGAGGAGAAATGATTAGCTCGACTTTGCCATTATTACCGGAGTCCAAATCTTTGATGGTAATCAGAGCCACCACAGTTCACACCGTTGCATTTTCAGGCACAGGACTCGCTAAAGATGTCAGGATAATCTCTGGAGGATTGTCATTCTCATCTATGATATCTATCTGAACCGATGACTGTCCTTCGAGCTCTGGATTCCCTTTGTCTTTAGCACAAACATCAAACGTATATGACTTTTTAGTCTCGTAATCTAATTTTCCAATGACTGTGATTTCGCCGGTTTCAGCGTTCACACTAAAAACATTTCTTACATGTTCGGGAGTATGCGCCGCGAATAAATACTGTATTTTACCATTTAGACCTTCATCCAAATCGTTTGCATTTATTTTGAGCACACTTGAACCAGCAATGGCTCTTTCTAAAACCGATGCTTTATATGCAGTAACTTCAAATTTGGGTTCGTTGTCGTTGATGTCTTGAACAATTATTTGCAACACAGACGTGCCAGATTTGACTGGATTACCACCATCTAGGGCTATTAATATGAGCTTGTGCATAGACTCTTTCTCTCTGTCTAAAGGTTTTTCAACCACCAGTTCTGGTACTATTCTTCCATCTTTTAATGTTTTTACATTAAGACGGAAATTATTGTTATTGCTTAGTGAGTAAGTCTTTAAGCTATTGCTGCCAACATCGAGGTCCTCAGCACTCTCAAGGGTAAATCGTGCGCCAGGAGCAATGACTTCAGGTATTTTTAATGTGGCATCTTTATTATGGAAGTTAGGTGCATTATCATTGATGTCTTGTAGATCTATCTCTATGCTATGTAACTGTAATGGATTCTCAATAACGATCTGCAGTGGCATTAGACAATTGGCGCTTTGTCCACAGAGCGTCTCTCGGTCTATTCTGCTATTAACTACCAGATCACCCTTCCCTGAATCCACACTAAAATACTGCCTATTCGACTCAGATGCTATTCGTAACTTACGCTCGGCGATACCTGAGATGTCGAAACCGAGATCCTTCGCGATATTCCCAACGATAGATCCTTCCTTTAACTCTTCGGGTATCGTGTAGCGAATCTGAGCTCCAACTGTATTCCACAATAGAGAGAAAGCGAACAGCCAAAGCGCTGCCCATTTCCACCCTCCGATCCTCTGCCTCATTTCTCTGTAGCACTTAATAATCACATCAACAAATCGTCAATTTATATCATTTATATCCACAGAAAAACAGAATGATAATCTTCATTTTAAAATGTATCTACTCAGCCCATCCTCGTTGTGGTGTTCGGCCTCATAAAGCGTTCATGTTTCCTCTCGCTATACAGCTCTCATCATTGTACTCCTCCTCTGGCTGAGGGAGGGAGTAGATCCCTTTGTACGGTCTGAAGCAGGATTGGTACAGAGCTCAAGGCTCTCTCATACAATATTTGCTTTGCTGCCGCTTAAAGGGGTAACCAGCCCTCTGTAGTTTGTGTTACGGCATTTAGTGGAGAATTGTGGGGTAAAATAGTTCAGACCCATGCTTATATATTATTATACGGGCAAATATTTTTCTAAGCAAAAATACTTTACAAGACAAGTGTAATTTATTTGGTTGTTCTCAAAACCCAATGGGAAAAAATGTTCTAACTAATGGACCATTGTTACATTTTCGTGTTTGTAACGCGGAAATTAAATAGCAGGGTAAACCTCTATTACCGGTACCAACGCACATATTATTTTTCTGTTCTCATTTTCTCCAACCGCAAAATAGAAATTACATTTCCACGATTTTCAGAAGAGCGAAATATGTCAAATTTACTGTCAGTCACATGGCGGCTATATTGGAAAATCCCTTGTAGTGTTTCTTCTCCTTCTCCTTCTTCTTCTTCTTCTTCCTCATCATCATCTTTTTTATTTATTTGTTTATTCATTTAATTCTTTTGTTTAAATTATTTCACGGTTAATATAACAAAAGTATTTTTAATAATGAAAATGCATATTTAGAAACCACATTTACGAGGTGTTATTAGCCATTTATTCCTGTATTTATTTGTGTATTTTTTAAATGCCAAAAGGCTTTTCAAATATAAAAATAGACATTTTTTAATTATTATTATTCAAACCAATTCAATTCAATTAAAACAAATATATAATAATAAATGCAGGCCGCTGATGCTACCCGCTGTCCAAAAATATGGTGCTGAAATTTACACCATTATCTCGTTCTCTCTCTCTCTCTCTCTCTCTCTCTCTCTCTCTCATATACGCAGACACACTTAGAAACGCGTGCAATATTACACAATATTAAGTGTAGACCATAATACCAAGTAATACTAACCACATTTTTAAACTTGATATTGATGCTAACAGTAATGCTAAATTATGATTCTGTGTCTCACCTGTTGGCTCTCGAACGTCCACGCGCTGTCTGGTAATGACGCATCAAGCACGTTTAGCGTGTCTGTAAAGTTTGTGGTGCTGCTGGGTTTAACGAGGGTAAGATCACTGAATTCTGACGTTGGAGAGAGATAGGAGCCAAAGGACTGACCCTGAGACATCATGTCTCCTCCCAGAACCTCCACATACTTAATGGGCCCGTCAGTGTTGAGCTGGATCTGCAGGTTTCTGTTTGGGTTCTTGTATTCAGAATTTGTCCTCCTGATACAGCAGCTTGAGCCGCCTCTAGTGCCTCGTGCACATTTCACAATTAAGATGAAAAAGGTCAATATACACAACAAGGACACAGACGCCAAAGAGATGATTAGATATAAAGCAATTTTGCCTGTTTTCTTGTTGGGATCGATAGTCTTTTCTCTATAGTCTGAGATGGGCTCATGAAGGCCTTCCTCTATCAGTATATCCACTGTGACTGTGGTAGACTGGAGCGGTTCTCCATTATCCTTTATTTCTATCAGCAGTCTCTGAGAGGAGTCATCGTGCTCTGAAACAGCGCGTTTAGTCCTCACCTCTCCCGTATGTAAATTGACACTGAACAGAGACGCGTCCGTGGCCTCTGCGAGCCTGTAGAACAGCCAGGCGTTATGACCCGAGTCCGCGTCCACTGCTGTTACCTTAGTAACGAGATGTCCTGCTTTAGCAGACCGGGGCATCCTCTGATGAGTAACAGACCCCATGGGTGTGGACGGGTAAATGACAGCAGGTGCGTTATCGTTCCGGTCCAGAATGAACACATGAACAGTGACGTTGCTGCTCAGAGGTGGAGAGCCATGATCTCTAGCCTGCACTACAATGCTGATTAGCTTAATTTTCTCATAATCAAATGAGTTCATGCTGTAAATAGTTCCGTTCTCAGAGTTGATATAAAAATAAGATGATGCTGGAACTTGATTAGAACTTAAATCCAAAACTGAGTAAGTGAGAATAGCATTTTTGTCTTGGTCAATATCAACTGCAGATAC